TTTCACCGGTTAGGCCAGGATGGTCGCTCGATCTCCTGACCTCAGTGATCCACCCCGTCTCGGTCCTCCCAAAGTGCTGGGATTACAAGGACTTTGACCACCGCGCCCGCTACTTTTTTTTTCAATTTCAATGGTTTTTTAAAATTTCTTTGACTATATCTTCTGCCACATACTTCCAGTACTACATTAAATAGAAGCATTGGCCGGGCTCCCTGGCTCACACCTGTAATCCAGGCACATTGAGAGGCAAAGGCAGGTGGATCACCTGAGGTCAGGAGTTCGAGACAAGCCTGACCAATATGATGAAACCCCGTGTCTACTAAAAATACAAAAATTAGCCGGGTGTGGTGACATGCACCTGTAACCCCCAGCTCCTTGGGAAGCCTGAGACAGGAGAATCACTTGAATCTGGGAGGCAGAGGTTGTAGTGAGCTGAGATCACACTATACATTCCAGCCTGGGGCAACAAGAGCGAAACTCCCGTCTCCATTAAAAAAAAAAAAAAAAAAAAAAAAAAGAAGCATCGACAATGGGCATAATATAGTTTTGTATTGGTATCTAAATTTGATGGAGCAAACACCTCTTCAAGTTTTCATAAACTGATTTTAGAAGGTAAAGATCTTCTTTTATTGGGCCCTTAGGGTGATGAGATACACTGTGAATTTTTAGTGCAAAGGAGTTGTAGCTTGGTCACAAGACTGCTGGGTCTGCACTAGGGCCCACCTTTAGTTGGCTTGGTACAGGGGCTTGGGTAGTTGTGATTCCCATTTTATTTTTGGACAGACTGAATGTCTTTTCAGGTTCAAGCAATTCTCATGTCTCAGCTTTGCAAGGAGCTGGGATTACAGGAGTGAGTCACTGTGCCTGGCCTTAGTGTAGGTTTCTTAACATCAGTTTATTGTGTCTTGGTTTTACTTTTATATTATAATTTTAGAAAATTTGCAATTCTGTTTGTACATTTAAGTCAAGTTGAGGTTTAATTAAGAGATAAATTGCTGGGCCTGGTGACTCACGCCTGTAATCCCAACACTTTGAGAGGCTGAGGCAGGTGGATCATGAGGTCAGGAGTTTGAGACTAGCCTGGCCAACATAGTGAAACCCCATCTCTACTAAAAATACAAAAAAATTAGCCGGGTGTGGTGGTGGGTTCCTGTAATCCCAGCTACTTGGGAGGCTGAGGCAGGAGAATCACTTGAACTCAGGAGGTGGAGGTTGCAGTGAGCCGAGATCACACCATTGCACTCCGGCCTGGGCAACAGTGCGAGACTCTGTCTCAAAATAAATAAATAAATAAATAAAATAAATTATGCATGTTTATTACAATCAGATGACATATGTATGCGTGTTTATCTATAAATATGACACCAATTTTAGTTGTGGTTTCTCTTATATTCTTTCTTAGCTGATTTTCGATGGTAGTTTTAAGTGAGCAGTCATTGAGATAGTTTTATTTTTTCCATGTGTTTAATGATGAATATATACTTCCTTTTGTGAGAAAAACACTTTTGTGATTTGAAGGTAATTTTCAACAGGATTTGTAATTCTGTATTTGTTTCAGTTTTTCTTTAAAAAATTGTTTTAAAAACACATAACATAAAATTTACTGTCTTAAATCTATTGAAGTGTACATTTCAGGGCCAGGCGTGGTTGTGGCTCTTATCTGTAATCCCAGGATTTTGCCATGCCAAGGCAGGAGGATCCTTGGAGCCCAAAAGTTTGAGAGCAGCCTGGGGAACATATGGAGACCCCTCTCTATAAAAAAAATTAATAATAGCCAAGCATGGTGGTATGCAGCCGTGGTCCCGGGTACTTGGGAGATTGAGAGGGAGTCAAATTTGTGCCACTACACTGCAGAGTAAGATCCTGTCTCAAAAAAATGTTGTTCATTTCAGGCATGTTAAGTATATTCACATTGCTATGCAAAAGACTTCTAGAAACTTTACATCTTATAAAACTAAAACTTAATTCCATTAAGTATGAACTGCTCATTTTACCCTCTCCCCAGCCCTTGACAGACAAACCTTCAACTTTCTGTTTTTATGATTTTTGACTACTTATGCTACCCCATATAGCTGGGCGCGGTGGCTTATGCCTGTAATCCTGGCACTTTGGGAGGCCGAAGCAGTCGGATCACCTGAGATCAGGAGTTTGAGACCAGCCTGACCAACATGGAGAAACCCTGTCTGTACCAAAAATACAAAAATATTAGCCGGGCATAGTGGCACATGCCTATAATCCCAGCTCCTTGGGAGGCTGAGACAGGAGAATCACTTGAACCTGGGAGGTGGAGGTTGTGGTGAGCCAAGATTGTGCCATTGCACTCCAGTCTGGTCAACAAGAGTGAAACTCCATCTCAAAAAAAAAAATATATATATATAAAGATACCTCATGTAAGTGGAATCATACAGTATCCATAATTTTGTTACTGGTTTAATTCAGGTGACATATTTTCAATGTTCATCTTAAAATGTGACAAGATTGTTCTTTTTAAAGTGGAATAATCTTCCATCATATGTATATGTTACATTTTTTGGTAGGTTTATAAATCAAGAGACATCTGGGTTGCTTCAGCCTTTTGACTTTTGTGCATACTGGGTAAAAAACAGATTTCCTTTTTTTTTTTTTTTTTTTTTTTGAGACAGAGGTCTGGTCTGTCGCCCCAGGCCCTGGAGTGCAGTGCCAGACTCAGTCTCACTGCAACTCCCCGCCTCCAGTCTAGGGCCCCATTCCTCCTGCTCCAGCCTCCGATACTGGAACTCAGCAGGGCGCCCGCCACGGCCCGGATAGTTTCTTGTATTTTTTAGTGAGATGGTTTCACTGTGGTTAGCCAGATGTCTCGATCTCCCTGACCTCGTGATCCGCCATCCTCGGCCTCCAAAAGTTCTGGATACAGCCTGACCAACCAGCGCTGGCCAGTAAACATGGATTTTCCCCAAAATGTCCTTCCAGTCCGTCTTACATATTTGTTTCTTTTGTTGTTGGTTATTTTATTTATTTTTGAGATGAGTTCCAATTGCTGTCACCCAGGCCTGACGTGTAGTCATGTGATCCGCTCCACTGCAACCTCTGCCTTTTGAGTTCAAGCAATTCTCCTACCTCAGCCTCCCAAGTTCCTGGGATTACGTGCACATGACATCGCCCATCTAGTTTTTGCATTTTTAGTAGACACAGTGTTTCACCATGTTGGCCAGGCTGATTTTGAACTTCTGACTTCATTTGATCTGCCCACCTCGGTCTCCCAATGTGCTATGATTACAGGCTTGAGCCACTGCGCCTGGCCTGTGTTATGTATTTTGGATATAGATTTATAAATGAGGAACAGTTATAACATTTTAAAATAATGGCTGCAAAGTTATTTTCCACCAGCAGTCAACGTGGGTTTCATTTTTATTGCATCATCAACAGATTTGGTGTATTTAAAAAAAATTATAGTGGCCATTCTAATGGGTGTGAGGTGATTTTGTATGTCATCATGTTTCCTTTTTTCATTTCTCTACAAATTAGTAATTTTGTGTGTCATTTCAAGTGCATTTTTCCATTTGTGTGTTTTTTGAGAAAAGTTTTGTTTGTCCATTTCTAAATCAAGTTATTCAACTTTACTGTTTAAAGAGTCATTTATGGCCGGGCACGGTGGCTCAAGCCTATAATCCCAGCACTTTGGGAGGCCGAGACGGGCGGATCACGAGGTCAGGAGATCGAGACCATCCTGGCTAACACGGTGAAACCCCGTCTCTACTAAAAAAAATACAAAAAACTAGCCGGGCGAGGTGGCGGGCACCTGTAGTCCCAGCTACTAGGGAGGCTGAGGCAGGAGAATGGCGTAAACCCAGGAGGCGGAGCTTGCAGTGAGCTGAGATCCGGCCACTGCACTCCAGCCTGGGCGGCAGAGCGAGACTCGGTCTCCAAAAAAAAAAACAAAAAAACAAAAAAAAGAGTCATTTATATATTTTGAATACTAACTCCTCTAACAAGTAATATGCAAATGTTTTCAGCCACTTTCTAAGGGACGTTGTCACTCTTGAAATTTTTTCTTTCAGAAATTTTGAAATATAGTGTAAACTTTTCTGTTCTTTTATTTGTTGCTCATACATTTAATGTTGTATCTAAGAAAATGGTGCCAAGACCAATGTCATGTCTTTTTTTTTGTATTTTTTCTTTTCTTTTTTTTGAGACAGAGTCTTGCTCTGTCGCCCAGGCTGGAGTGCGCTGGCGCAATCTCTGCTCACTGCAAGCTCCGCCTCCCAGGTTCATGCCATTCTCCTGCCTCAGCCTCCCAAGTAGCTGGGACTACGGGCGCCCGCCACCACGCCCGGCTAATTTTTTTGTATTTTTAGTAGAGACAGGGTTTCACCGTGTGAGCCAGGATGGTCTCGATTTCCTGACCTCATGATTCGCCCACCTTGGCCTCCCAAAGTGCTCGGATTACAGGCGTGAGCCAGCGCGCCCGGCTTTTTTTGGTGTTTTTTCTAAAAGATTTGTTAGTTCATTTTGTCTAAGTATTTTATTTAAAGTATATTTTTGTATCATTCAAGGAAATAATCCAACTTTATTTTATCAGTGTTGATACTACAGCTTTTAACCGTTGGTTGTATTGACAGATTTGAACAATGAAATTTTTTGACCGCTGAGCAAGAATATGTTGAAGAGTGTGTTTTATATTCACATCTTTTTGAATTTGCCATCTGACTTTTGCTTTTAATTCCTAGTTTCATTCAGTTTTTGTTAGAAAGCACAGTGTAAGGCCCTGCCCAGCTGGGCGTGGGCGGGTGGCATCGCCTGTAAGAGCTCCCTGGTGTTTTGGGGACCGCGGGCCGAGCGCACTGACCTGGTGCGCATGTCCCGGGCGGTGACACCCGCGCCCGGCTTCATGTGTGCGGCCCCGGGGCATATTATCCGGCCGGTGGCGCTGGCGGGCCAGCAGACAGGCTGAGCGAGCACGGATGAGCGAGCGCGGCGGACCTGGGCGGCCCCACAGGCGGAACAAGCACGCGTGGCCCAGCGCCCCCGGCCCCAACACCGCCTGGCCCCGCGGGCGACCCCGGACCCGCAGCCCCACTAACCAGCGCGCTGCCCAGGGCCTGGCCGACCCACGGCCCGGTTGGTCAGCACGTCGTCTCAAGTAGGTAGCCTTTTGACGTCACTGTGGCCATGACCAACTGGTAGGACCAGCACCCCATACCGCGAAGCCAGTTCAGAATGACCGAAGAAGCATGCCAAAAACGGAGTCAGAAACGAGCGCTTCAACTGGACCCAACAGAGGACGACGCGGAGAGCAAGAAAATAAAAATGGAGAGAGGGTTGTTGGCTTCAGATTTAAACACTGACAGAGACATAAGGTGACACCTGAGCCGGGAGCGGGTCCAGCCCAAGGATTGCTGAGGGCAACAGGGGCCACGACGGTGGCCATGGGCAGAGGCGAAGGTCTGGTGGGCGATGGACCCGTGGACATGCCCTCCTCACACAGTGACATGAAATCTGAGAGAAGACCCCCCTTACCGACGTGATTGTACTCTGCCACAACGAGCAGCCCTCCAGCCCGAGAGAGAATGGGCTGATCACGGTGGCCTTGAAGGAGACTAGCACCGAGGCTCTCATGAAAAGCAACCCGAAAGAACGAGAAAGGATGTTCAAGCAGCTGAAAGAAGAGTTGAGGTTAGAAGAAGCAAAACTCGTTTTGTTGAAAAAGTTGCGGACGAGTCAAATACGAAAGGAAGCCACCGCCCAGAAGCCCGCAGGTTCTGTCTGGAGCGCCGTGACCACCCCTCTGCCGCTTGTTGGGGGCACCCAGAACATTCCTGCTGGCAAGCCGTCACTCCAGATCTCTTCAGCTCGGATGCCTGGCAGTGTCATACCCCCGCCCCTGGTCCGAGGTGGGCAGCAGGTGTCCTTGAAGCTGGGGCCGCAGGAGAACTCGCAGGTCGTCATGACCCCGCTGGTCAGGGGGCCCCAGCATATCCATAGCATTATGCAACATTCCAGCACAGGCCCACCGCCCCTCCTGGCCCCCCGGGCATCGGTGCCCAGTGTGCAGATTCAGGGACAGAGGATCGTCCAGCAGGGCCTCATCCGCATTGCCAGTGTTCCCAACACCAGCCTGCTCATCAACATCCCACAGCCCACCCCAGCATCACTGAAGGGGACGACAGCTTCCTACGCTCAGGCCAACTCCACCCCCACTAGCGTGGCCTCTGTGGTCACCTCCGCCAAGTCTTCAGCAAGCCAACAGGCAGCCGCCAAGCTGGCGCTGCGCAAACAGCTGGAGAAGACGCTACTCGAGATCCCGCCACCCGAGCCCCCAGCCCCGGAGATGAACTTTCTGCCCAGCGCCCCCAACAGTGAGTTCATCTACCTGGTCAGCCTGGAGGAGGTGGTGCAGAACCTACTGGAGACACAAGCGGGCAGGATGTTGGCCGCCACTGTGCTGTCCCGGGAGCCCTAAATGTGTACACACTGCAAGATGGACTTCATGTGCCGCTGGTGGGAGGAGAAGAGCGGCGCCATCATGTGTGAGAACTGCATGACGACCAACCAGAAGAAGGCGCTCAAGGTGGAGCACACCAGCCGGCTGAAGGCTGCCTTCGTGAAGGCGCTGCAGCAGGAGCAGGAGATTGAGCAGCGGCTCCTGCAGCAGGGCGCAGCCTCTGCTCCACAGGCCCAGGCCAAGGCCGAGGCCGCCGCCGCCCCACATCCCACGCTGAAGCAGGTCATAAAACTCCGGCGTAGGTTGGCATTCCGCTCAGGAGAGGCCTGCGACTAGAGTAACGGGGCTGTGCTACAGGCCTTTAGCCTGCTGTCCCAGGGTTCGGCCATGACGCCCCGAGGTGTCCTGCACACGTTCAGTCAGTCACCCAAACTGCAGAACTCAGCCTTGGCCACAGCCCTGGTCAGCAGGACCGGCAGACATTCCAAATGAACCTGTCAAGGGCAGCGGCACCTCCAACTGGAGGAAGATGCCCCTCAGCACAGGCGGGACCCTTGGGTTTGTCAGCCCAAGCCTGGCGGTGCACAAGAGCTCCTCGGCCGTGGACCGCCAAGCGAGAGTACCCTCCTGGACATGACCCAGCCCCGCTCCATCCCCCAGTCACCACCGTGAAATAGCTGTGAGCCAGGCCCCGGGGAAGACGGGCTCCTCCCTTCCCCATCTGCCCCCAGTCTAGAAGGACCCCACGCACCACCCCCTCCGCTGGTCGGGAAGACAGCCGTGCCCGCCCAAGAGCAAGCAAACGGCCATGCTACCGAGCGAGACCTCAATTCCTTGGCTGCAAGTTATCATCAGGCTGCGGGGCTGGTGGCTGCCTATAGGCCCGGACAAGGATCATCGCTGGGGAAGCCTTTCCCGTTTTTTGGGGGCTTCCTCCTATTCCCTTTATCTCTTTGCCTTAGTTGCCCCCGACACCCAGCAGAAAAGTGGACCTGGGAGTGATCTGCTCACCGCCCCTTGTTCGGCCCTGCCGGCACACCGGGCGCCTCACCCTGGACCTCTGACGCGCATGGGCAAGCGCACGCCCGGGCTTCCTGAACAGAGCGGGCGTTTCGTTTTGTTTGCTTTTCCACGTCTTAGCTCCGATCTTTGAACTGCCTTCCCCATGGCGCTTGTAAGTTGAAGACATTTTTTATTATTTCTTTCAAATCACCTTATCAACATCAAAAGAATCCGTGCGACCTGAGGTCCATATTGAGTGTGACGCTGCGTCCGTCCCGCTGGCCCGTCCACTGAGGTGGCCGGCTTATCGGTGCCACACCCCCTGGCAGGGAATGGCCCAGTCAGCCCAATGACTGACCGACAGATGCAGAATGACAGAGGCAGCCCTCGCCCCGGCTGAACGCCTCCCACTGCTACTTGTTCGGGAACCCCCAGCCCACCGGACACTCTCAGACTAGCAGAAGAACAAAGCAGAGGAACAACCACACCGCCAAGCGAGAAGCAGGGATGTCCAGAAAGCTGCATAACGGCCCAGAAGCGCCCGTGGAAGCCGGACGGAGTAGAGGATCCGGTCGCCAGCAGCCCCGAGCAGGAAGCTGGAGTGGGGACGT